ACCCAACAGAAGCATGTAGATGGAGAATAACATGCGATTCTGCCAGTGCAACAAAAACGTGAGACATTTCAAGGACAATTCAATTCAATCCAATTCAATTTTATTCATACACAAATTGGAGCAACAGTGTCAAGGCGCTAGATCCTACAATAATACATTCAGAGAAAAACCCAACAATCATATGACCCCCTATGAGCACTTTGGCGACAGTGGGAAGGAAAAACTCCCTTTTAACAGGAAGAAACCTCCAGAAACCTCAGGGAGGGGCGGGGCCATCTGCTGCGACCGGTTGGCTCCAACTCAACCTGTGATTTAAACCAGTGCCCAATTCTTTTTAATGTTGAGACCGATCGCTGGTTTGCACCTTGTGGTGAACCCTCTATATTTACTCTTGTGGCATCTCGATTTACAATAGGTGTGGATAATGATTTACGGACATCCTAAAGAGTGTTATCCACGTTTTGTTTTTTTTAACCATGGAACGAATCCTGTAATCATTCATCCATTATTTTTGTTTTCTGCAGATGTTTGCAGATGTCTTTTTTTTTTATCTTAGTAAGTACACATTAACTCTTTTAGAATGAACTAAAATGTTTATTAAGCCATTAATCTTCCTACAGTCCATTGTAGTCAAAGGGAAGCCTGATTAACCTAAAGTGGGCTCATTTAGCCACATGTTGTGCCATGACCACATCAGGTATATACGTCTCATATTCTAACCTTTTCCTGTGTAACTAATAAAAATATCTATAACATAGGTTAATTATCAAGTCACATTTCACATCATGAACATATAAAACTGTCTATACAATTTATTTATTTTTGAATAAATAAAATTGCATCTTTCATTTCAAATGTGGCATAAAGGGCAAAAATGATAAAAGTTGCGTCACTGCCCAAACATTTGCTTACCCAACTATCAGTTTGTCTTTAAGGGAATATTCTGTGTCCTCACTACGTGATACTAACTGCACACTCACACAACTAATATGAGCTTAACAGTAACACTAAATGTTGTTCCTGCAGCTTTGTCATGTCATCCACTTTGCATCGCTTGTCTCTCTGCCGTATTCGTCTTTAATCTCACTGTGCTCAGAAACTACCAAATACTCAGAAAAGCAGAACTATCGCTTCAAGCTTCTAACACTTATAATATTACGGCTGTTTGTGTATAAATTTGATTTGGATGCAGATATATGTGTAATGAAAAACAAAACACCTGCAGATCAAAATCACCTGTTCTGTCAGCTTTGTGGATTTTATCAGTGAATCTTGTTATTTGTATTAATTTAATATTATTATCAGTGCTTAAAAGCTCAGGGTCAAATATCTGCAGTTGCTTTGTTAACATAGGCTTTCTTCATTACTGTGTGTGGGTGTGCGTGTGTATGCGTGTGAGCCTGTATTTGCATCATATTTAAACATATCTAAGCACATGGAAAGCCGTGTTGTGTTTTAACATTGTCTGTTTTTCTCCCCCTCAATGCTTGTAGAGATTTTACGTTGCCACGTCTCGGCAGCTAAAGCGTCTGGAGTCGGTCAGCCGCTCTCCCATATACTCCCATTTCTCTGAGACCATCACTGGCTGTAGTGTAATCCGAGCATATGGCAGGCACTCTGCCTTTGTTCTGATGAGTGATATCAAAGTGGATGAGAACCAAAAGAGTTACTACCCTGGTATAGTGTCAAACAGGCAAGTATCCTGCTCCAGCAGAGAAGCAGCTGTGTTCCAGTCTTGAGTTCTTGTGTCGCTCTGTGCACCGCCACTGCATGTAAAGATTCTGCGTCTCTGTTTGACTCATTCTTTCTGCTTTGAATTTTGTTTCAAATTGTCACAATTATGGCTGCACATAATCTGTTACTTATGGAGCCCCTAAAGGTCTATAAGGTGGGTTTTTTAAAAATCTCATTGTCTCGTGTGCATAAATGGCAAATATCTTGTGTTTATAACTATAGGAAGGTAAGGAGTACTCATGCTCAAAGACATCTTCTCTTCTATTCAGCCTTAAATTTGAGTGACAAGATGAGAAAATCAATCCTGCTCGTGTCTGTAGGTTTATTATGGTTAACTACAATGACTGTTTGAACTCAAAGTGCAAAGTGAAATTTTGTTAGCTTCTAACAAAGCTTAGCAAATCGTTTGCACCTGTGTACAGCTTTTATGATAAGCTAAGCTAACTGGGTGTAGCATAGATATTCAACTCAATTCAATTTTATTTATATAGCGCCAAATCAACAACAGTCGCCTCAAGGTGCTTTATATTGTAAGGTAGACCCTACAATAATAGATACAGAGAAAAACCCTATGAGCAAGCACTTTGGTGACAGTGGGAAGGAAAAACTCCCTTTTAACAGGAAGAAACCTCCAGCAGAGCCAGGCTCAGGGAGGGGCGGGGCCATCTGTTAGGGTGAGAGAAGGAAGACGGGATAAAATACATGCTGTGGAAGAGAACCAGAGATTAATAACAAGTATTATTCAATGCAGAGAGGTCTATTAACACATAGTGAGAAAGGTCAATATCAAAGTTCTTACCTGATCCTTTTTAAAAAAGCAGATTTTCTAACATCTGTCCATCTTATTGGAAAGATGGCGTTAATGTGAAACACTGTCTGAGTGCAAAGAGTGAAAAGCACAAAAGGAATTCACACACTGTCTATACACACATAAGAAAATATACTGTGCTTACTATAGTGTTGCTCCACAATAAAGAATATTTCTAAAGCTTGTGGCTCTATCAATGGCACTGCCCCTTGTATCCCAGTAATGAGTATAAGTCATTATTGTCGTAACATGAGGTGCTGAATTATCCCGTGTTTTAGTTTCTCAGGTGTTCTTAAGGTCAACTGCATCTGCTGTTTTACAGGTGGCTCGGAGTGCGAATTGAGTTCATTGGAAACTGCATTGTGTTGTTTGCTGGCCTGTTTGCGGTGACAGGAAAGGACAGTCTTAGTCCCGGCCTCGTGGGTCTGTCGGTGTCCTATGCTCTACAGGTACTACTACAGCTATTGCAAGAATATGATCTAGATATCTCATTTAACCAGTAATAATGTCACTTTATAGCATTTTTTTATATTTATAATGCTTTCTCAGTAAAGCTGCAGTCACTGGTATTTTTACCATGGATCAAATCTGTGTTTTATCCTCTTTTAGCCTGTTGTTTGCTTGAAATATAGAGCGCTATAACTGTTCTCAGTATTGCCTCTTATCACTTTATCAGTTACTTTTAACTTTATGAAAACTCATGTTTGTTGTTTAGCAAAGAATCGTAATTTATTTTACACAAGCTATTTAAACCCCTATTACTTCATAATTAGTTTCTATTCAATTCA